CAACAGGTAGTTACACCATAAAATACCCAATGTTTTATTGTAATAATGCGTTTTTCTCTCTCCATTTAGATGCTAATGCAACAACAAGACCAAACGTTAACATCTATCTCAGGTACCCTAAACACTCTTGCTGAACAGGCGGGCCTTATGGGACAAGAAATTATGGAACATAACGAGTACGTTAATACACTTTGCGATATAGAAAACAGTATATATTTAATAACCTAGGATGCTTGACGATCTTGAGGCCAATGTGGATAAAACAGATGACAAATTAGGCAGTGCAATGAAGAAGATGCAGAAATTTATTCGAGATACGGAAGGTAAGTTTTTCGGCAATTCCCTAGTTTCTAAGATTCATTGTATATGCTGACATTTTATGGACACTAGAAACGAAATCAGGATGGTGTATAGGGATCCTAATTGTGATCCTATGTATTTTATTGCTCATGATAGTTTTACTTTAGTCTTTTCTCAATTCCTTTATGTTTTTAAGCTATATTACAGTAATTCGATCAATGTCGAAGTGACCTGGACAAAAACATCCTGGTATTTATACGTACAACGATCACGTGAACACCACTACGAGAAATAAGCGAAACGCACAAGTAGAATAATCAAAGAAAATAAAAAGGAAACAAAGGAACCCAATGCATAGAGAAAAAGTATGATGTGAGAGCGAACATATGAGAATGAGCAATGCAATGAGAATGCGTGAATGCCAAGCTTGTCGTTGTTACAATGATGATTCATTGAACATAGAACAAGGAGACCGTTAAACCAAATGTTTCGCGTACAAGAGAGGATTAAAAGCAAAAGGCGAAGGAGAAAATGGATGTGTTCGTACTCCAAAAGAAAATATAATGTAATATGTCGCTGTGTGCAGACCGATCATGCCTCTGTTGCGTCTATGATTGTGGATTGGGGCTCTATAACTTCCTCGGATGAGGGGGTTTCTATTTTATTTATCTGAATAAGTAGCTTAGCATCTCATTTTAATAACATGTTCGAGATGTGTTACGTACAAGTTGGTCAGGAATAACTGAGCTTTCTACCTTCATTTCGCTCTCAAGATTTCTCGCAACAGCATTGAGAGACCGAAGGGCCTCACTTTCATCGTAAGCTTGAGTAACATCGGCCAAAGGCGTTACAGTGAACTCATAGGCTTTGCGATTACCCAACGCGGTGATGGGGGCGACTGAAGTATCGAATTCATATTGGTGAATTACATTGCTTCCCAGAGTGGTCGATTTCTTTCCCCTTTCTTTCCTCTCCTTGCCCGCTGAGGGTTTCCTGTGTTTCGAAGATGACTTGGATGAAGACGCGATAACCTTGGTTTTAAGAACTGAGGTGCTGGATGGTTTCCGTTTTTTGAGTGGTGGTTGAGATTCGAACAATTCCCCAGTTAGAGGATTGACATTTTCTTTAGTGGTCGCGTCGGAAGGTTGAATGTGTTGGGCTTTACGTGAGGGTTTGAATGGTATTGATGTTGCTGGAGTTTGTTGGGGAATCGCGGTGTCTATAAAGACAGAAAAGGTGGAAACAACCATGAAGATATAAGAGGAAGCAAGGGAAGATGAAAGGGTATTTCTTAATGCTGCAAGGCGTTTAGAGACGCGAAGAATATGTCGTAGGAGGAAGGGAAGCTACAAGAATTACCAGAGCGGAGTTGCGCTTGCAGTATTTCAACCAAAACCGCGTCCGTCACGTGATGGGTGACCTCCAAGAATGACATAATATCCGGTGCATACTAGCGTTCTGGACAACTCCGAGTCGACGTGTCCATCTTTCCCCAAGTTTGTCCCCTAGTTTGTCCAAATATTTTACTCTCAATTTTATCATCCGACTCAGGACTCAGCTGAAGTACTGTTTTATAACAAGTCTTATTGAACTAAACCAGATGATTTTAATTACATCCTAATTGAGTGATCAGGTAGTGGGCCTCAGGCTTGATGCTGACATTATTGCGTATTTTTCAAGTTAATGCGCCCTCCATTTACCTTTTCTTTACTGACACCAGCTCACACGAGATTGTCCAAAGGTTGCTATGTTGCTATGGTAGCCGTATGGACTAAATAGTCCATCACCATGGAATTTATTATTCACGCGTTGTCAGCTCACATACCTCTGTTTCAAATACCTTTGTTTTCAAATTTATAAACGATAAACAGGCTACCTCAATTGCGAGCTGGAAGGGTTGATATGCGGGTTTGCACCTATAAACTTGGTGAAGGTTCTAACCCGATACCGCTATTGGATCGCGAACAGCGTTAATAGCTTAGTTTCTCAGCCCCAAGAACCGTCCAGTACATTTACTAGTACATTTAATGTGAACCTCACACAGGAAAGCATTTCATTAGGACACTATAGTGGTTTGGCTCGCCAGCATCAGGGACCTGGGCCATGCATTTTGAATTACTATCTCGGAGGGGGGCAACAGTCAGTACTAGTCAGTGTTGGTAATCTGTTCTAGTGTCAGCCCAGGCAAGGTCCTTTCTCAGGTCTTATTTCAGTGCAGTGATGCTTCTGGTCCCGTCGGTTCCATCACAATTTGATATCACGCTGTGTGTAAAGTATATCTTTCCTTCGTTCCTTCATCTCCTTCGTCTTTTCCTTCGCCTTCAAGTTGTTGCTGGTCCGACAATATGTATTTTTCATTTTTAACGCTCTTTTCTTTCATTTTACATAACAGAGGTGATTTTATTATATGGATTGATATGAAAATATTGTTGATGTGAATATTTATAGCACTCGTCCAAGCTTTGTCAAAATTCCCTTCTTCGTTGAGGAGGAGACAATCGACTGATGATGTCGGCTCCAATATTATGCTCTCTCCAGCAGTCAGTTCATGATTTTTTAGAAGATCAAAGTTTTATTAATTGTCTGTTAAAGTGCAACATTACATGCACAAACTTTGAGATTATTGATAATGATTGTAACACACCCCACTGCGGCTGTGCTGTGTCCTATATTGGAGCCCAAGGCAATTGTCTTGTTTGTTACGCAACTACGCCGAACGACCAGGCAATAGTGCAATTTCTTCTAGACGGTATGAGCTTCAATAATGTAACATAAGCTTTTTACTCAGATCTTTTCACTTGACAGCGGAAATGGCCCAATGTGGGAGGGAGGGTATTCCAGTGAGTTTTGCGCTCGACCTTCCTCCTCCTGCAGCGGCTTTAGTGAAGGTGTACACGCGTCAAAGCGAAGGTAACCACTGACCTTTCGTCATACAATAAATCCTAATTCTATCTATTATCGTAGAGTTAAGACGGAACCAGGCTATTTTCCTCGGGCTTCAAATTGCGGGTGGGCATATTGGTCTTCCTATTGTCTTAACATTTGCTGTCCTCTCTCGCCGTGTTCGTCGCGATCCCACCTTTTTGAACTTCTGTATTACCTGGATATTTTCAAGTGTCGTATTTTCGCTCCTGTAAGTCTTTCATTTTCCCCGGAGGGCTTTGAAGTAATACTCAAAAATTGTATTCACAGACTATATCGAGGGATGGGTGATAACACAGTGGTTAACTCATTAGGAGAAGTTGAACCTAATATTTGTCTTGCACAAGCGGCTTTGACTGGAGGTGCTCAAGTAATGACCGCAGGCTCAACATTATCACTTATTATTCGGGTACTTTTACCATCTGTATAGTATACGTGCTTTAGTTAACCCTTTATTTTTTAGCTTTGGCTCGGGTTTAGAGCAGCCATATATGGAGATGAATGCCCTAGTGCCAAAAAATCCTTCACCAATGCGATTAACGCGGGGGTGAGTCCCTCGATTAATAATTCTGTTTAATTTAAGAAATAACAATAACCTGTTTGTTAATAGCTTCTCATTGTTCCATATGTATTTTTTATTACATTTGCACTAGCCTCCGTATTTGTAAGTTTCGTAAACATGCCCTTTGTTTTGGCGATCTTATGATTCTCAGGTTGGAATGGGTCGAATCGATGTAGATGGAACATCACTACAAAGGGTTATCCCTACTAACTTTTACTGTACTGTGGTTGCGCCAAATTCATTGTTCGTATCATATTTTAGATATCTTACCTATGCTTAATTCCGCCATCTAGTATCCGAGCGGTATATGGCATTACGTTGTCTTTTCTCCTCATAACTATGGGCTTTGATGGTAATTATTTTTACCCCTTTTGAAACATTGATACTATTAAACACTTTTCAAAAAAAAAAAGCGCATATCATAAGCATTCTTTACAGACACTGGCGTGCATTTCGCCATACAAAGACAAAAAGTGCCGTGTCGCCTTCTCTTTTACTCCGAGTGATGTTTTTCAGTTTCTACAGGATTGTGGTCGCTGTGTAAGCGAACACCCCCTTCATCTGAAAGTCACGTGGAAGCTTATAAGGTCTAACATTTACAGCGCCGATGGCACAATTCTTCGCGTACCTCCTAAAGTAGGATCGGAGGGGCAAGGAGAATCACTGGCAGTAACGTTTGGTCTTCCTGTCTGGGTCGATATGCTTCAAGCTGCCAGTAAGCACCATTGTTAGTAATCTGAGAAGTAGAGAACTAATGAAACATTTATAGTACCTCTCATCGGAACCTTGGTCTTGGGAATAAGCAGTGTAGGTTTATTTATATATGCATGGTCATTCTCTTAAATTTATCTGTTACATTACAGGACATGATATCAACCCTTATGTTCTGGAGACGCGATATTAACATCGATACCTTGGATTCAGGATTCGAGGCTGATACCAATTATATTGATGTTCCTGACATTTCGAACTCTAGAGAGAAGGGTAAGAACGTGCCCTAATTGTAACTACCTTTGCTTTCCTTTCTCTTGAGGATTTTTATCGTGTTATGTAGAAGTGGAAGTGAATTATAAGTAAATGTTCTGTACCATAAAAGAGAAAGCTCCCGGTTTGCTTTTGTACTCATATTTCAATTTTGTTTGCGAATGGATTGCATTTCATGAAACGTGGACTCAGAAGTATCATAAAGGTTACTTCTTCTGAGTAGGAAAGCTACGCCTTGCTAGCTCAATCGGTAGAGCGTGAGACTCTTATCATGTAGGAGCAAAACATCTCAAGGTTGCGGGTTCGACCCCCGCGTGAGGCTAGGATATTTTTTAGTTTCACTTTTACATAAACTTTTAACTGTGATCCTCCTAGTGCCACTTCACGGGGGAAAACTTAAAACTCGACCTTCTGAAACCGTAATCAAAAGAAGCTCCAAGGTCAAGTTCAACATAGTAGCACCAAAAGTTTGTGCGTTCTTTTCGGTGCCGGGGATCTCGGACTGCAGTTGCAGCATCTTTCTAATTACTGAATAAACTCGATTCATGTAAGACTGCGGTATGGGGTAAAAACCGCATATTATAAACTGTTTCACATAACAGGTGCTGTAATTATATGAACTCGTGGATGTTAATAAAATTGGCCGACTTTGTCTCACAGTAATATGCCTGCTCATTGAGCTAATATGCAACATAAAATGCTATTTGTTAATGTAGCTAGACCGAACAACAGTACGAATGACAGCCATCTGAAAGATACAAATATCCCCGTCGTATAGCTCACCGGAATCATACCTTTGATTCATATTCCCTGATTAGTACTTTCGCAAGCTCGGCCCATTCTTCTCTTCCCGCCTTACCAGGAGAAGATCCGACACCACGCACAACCTCCTCAGCTTTGCCTTCTCTCTCAAGAAGCTTCCAAATACGCCTTAAGACATTTTTTTGGGCATAGATATCCTTGGTCCAAATCTCGGGGTATATATGGCTATCTTGAGGAACACCAGCTAACCGAAGTATCTCCGTTGTATATGCGTATTGTTCATCAATGACAAATATATGCATATTTTTAGCCATGAAGGCCGGTAAGTGGAACCGTTCTTTCAGACTAATATATCGGTGTTCAATCCAAGCTTGTTCGAGAGAAGGTGAGAAAAGGTCTGGGTTTCGATACAGAGATACTAGATACGTCACTTGAGTTTCAAACAGTGGAAACGGCGTGACCTTGATTGGAAGGCCAATGAACGCAATGGAAGAAGGATCTACATGCCACGGCGATATTTCGTGTGTGGGCTTCGTGAACGGTAAAATATGTCGTGTAAGTGGATAAACGCTGCTAGTTGTATTGATCAATTCAGAAGGAATGATATCAGATTGATCAGGGAGAAGTGCTTTCTTCAGGATTAAAGGTTCCAGAAAAGGGAAGGACATTTCATAACCTGTTGCCAGAATCGCATGGTCCAACTCCATTGACGGTTTATCTTTCTCGCTATCATCGAAAGACACTGTACCGTCTTCATGAAGGGCGGTTACACGACCCCGATTGATAAGCGTGCAACTGCCTATCGTCGCTGAAAATGGGACGGTGGTTGTCGAAGAACTGTGATACACCACACTCGCAACTTTACATAATTCGGTGGTGATGTCCATTCCTGAAGGCCCCCCGCCAATTACAATTACACGTTTGTCCTTGTACGGTGTTGGGTTTCTAAAATAGATGGAATGCGTTGCCCGCGGTCTTGAAGGAATGATAGGGGGGTGTCGCCAATTGAGCAAGCCCGGAAGGGAAGGATACCGAGGAGTTGAAAAATGGCCATTCGCAATAATCAGTTTGTCGAATTTATGGACTGTGAGCTTTGAAGTAGATGTCGACTGTTCAAAGGATCGAACATGCAAAATCCAGACGCGTTCTTCCCCATCCCATTTGCATTCTTCGACCGTTGAGCACAATTGAATATATTCCCTAACGCCAAAGTACTTCGCATAGTCACGCAGATACTCCAGAACAACGTGTGAGGAAGGGTAAAGTGGTGTAGAAGGTTTGAATAAGAATGACGGAAATGCCATAAGTATGTGGGGTATATTTGTTGTTAACGCGTCGTACAGTGGTGTAGCAGGCGGATCTCCAACTGGAGGGGAAGGATACCTGCATGCGCGCAATGTAGTGGTTAGAAATTTTTTATTCGTCCGTAGCTTGACATACCATATACCACCTATATCATCCCGTTGCTCAAATGCGGTTACAACCCAATCTCCATTCGTTATCTCGTCTGTATCCTTAAGAATCTTTAAAGCAGCAAGACCAGCTGCACCGCCGCCAATCACGCCTACCTTTAAGGGCATTGTGGACGGGGTAGTAATGAAAATCTAAATCAAAGTGGCTTATTAAGCCTCAATAATGCTCGAGCATACCTAAACGGCGGAAGACGTTGATAACACCTGGCAAACAGCAGGACTCAGGGGTAAGATGGCTTAGTCATCAATTTACCAATGTCCGAGCTCGACCTTTCGACAGTTCACTCACTGGAGATAAGTATACGATGAAAAGGTTACGGAAGGACCTTAGGAAGACATGGCCAATGTTTTTTACACCTTTCAATACCTGAAAATGACTCAGATAAGCTTATTTATATCTTTTTTCTTTTTACGGAAATGGACCGCTTCCAAAATTCAAAAAGCTTGAGTCTTGGCAATGTTGGGTCGATGGTACTAAGCTAGTCGACTTCCCAAGTAAACCTTGATTTTTGAGAAAAGGGACTTACATGGACACGACAGCAATCCAAGCCCTTGGTCCTGGTTACAGTAAACCGTCATGAAATTGATCGTGTCCTGTGCTCTTTCTTCAACCTCTCCAATCTTCAGATCTTCAGATCTAGTCGTATGCATGTGTCTCCTGCAAATTTTAAAAAAAAACCAGCGCCATCCAATGGACTGTTAGTTGCATGTAAGTATGAGTTTCTGACTCCATCTTATACCACAACATTAGGCTTGTAATTTTTCCCCGGCGATGAATTTAAACCTCTGCCAGCTCATCGTAATAATTATTGTTTTCCATGAAGCGAAACTGAAAATGTCGAGGAGCATATGTAATTTTCTTAATGAAAGACTCCTAACGTTGCCCTTTCTTAAACTTCTTTTAGGTGGTAATATAAACAACACACGCCGTGAGCCTTAATATACACACAAAACTCTGGAGCCCTAGCAAATATGACCTTCCGTAATGTTTTGTGAGGCGAATAAGATAAAACGAGCTCATATATTAATCTGATTAATATACTCGAAAATTTAACTTAACCACAGGATGACCAGGATATCGTGTGGCACCCACACCGGTATAGTCGAAATTATTTGAAAAGAAGTGGCACTGTCAATACCTGGTCCTGGTGACTCACCGTAATCCTGTGAGATGACTGCGTCGGACCTAACGACTGTAGAGAACCCGAATTTATAAGGGATATTCAATATGCCCATTTAATCAAACTGTTTGAAGTTTCTGTCAATATGACTCTCGGCAGGTATATGCACCGGGAATCGGAAGACAGACCTTCAATTTCTGAGTAAGAGAATAACATCGGTATGTTTGGTATGTTTGAGAGTACTTTGCGTATGTGTTTATTTATGCGAAGGCGTTATTAATGTACATTTCTTTCAGCCAACTACCGAACGTCGTTCAAAATATACAAGGTTTCGACATGCACGGGCGTAGACTCATTTGATACCAGTGATAGCGCATACCGGGAGAATAACGAACGAGAAAATAAAGGATAAACTGGATTGTTAAACCTTTCCCTATAGAAACACCACTAGTCGGTGAAATTGTCAAGTAAACCATTTACCAGAGGAGCCCCGGAGTATCAGGAACGAATAACTTGAATGAAAGCATTGTTGAACTAACTTACAACTTGAGGCTGTTGGCAAAGTGCGTCATATTTAGGAGGCTACTTCCGAAAAGTCGAAGACGGTCAACGTAATCATAATCATCATCCGGTGATTCCAACAAGCTTTTTTTACGGTGAATTCTCGGAGTCAGATTCCGTTAGAAATCCTCAGTAAAAAGTGCATAATTGAACAACTTCCGTTTCTTTTTCTTTTTCAATTTCAAGTCTTATCCTGTCATCTACCAAATTGACGCAATTGCCTCTTATTCAGGCGAGCAGGCGCGCGTTGGGTACATAAGTTTTCGCAGCCTTGACTGGGGGGCCTGAGCCCAGATTGTACCAACTCAAATCCATTGATTTTATCTGTTATACTAATGATACAAATCCAAGTATCAGTTGGACACTAGAAAGTGAATCAGAGGCGGAGACACCTCAAACGCCCTTGAATTGCATGCATCGTAGGCTGCCGAAACGCCTCCATAGACAACGATATAAACCGAGTTTCAGCAAGGTGTATTTTCTGTTTGGTCATGAAGGCCTTCTTTCCCGTTTAGACAATCTAGCAAGTAATCGTATCAGTGTCTGATAATTCTTTAAAAAAAATACGTACTCTTCCTTCCAGCCTATGCGTTGTGTCTGATGGAGGTTGTGCCGATCATGGCGTTCCTGCAAGAGGCGAGCAACGTTTTCAGTGCGTTCATTCATTCCCTGGATATACCCCGCAGACTCTAATCGTTTCGAGAATTCTTTAGCCGCTTCATAATGACCACAGTCAATCAATCCTCTCCAGATATTTGTATATGTGACTAAATTAGGTGACGGCATCCAATTCGATGGTCGGTGAATGGGCCCTCGACGATTGCGAACACGATTAAGATTTAAGGTATGAGAAGCTGGAGACGAAGAATCGGTGAAAATGGTTTCTTCCATGCGATTAAGAATTCTAGTAGCCCGCTCCAAATCACTTGCTTTGGCATACATTCCTGCCACAGCTGTCCAATTGTGCGTGTCCGGTCGAATGCCCCGGGTATGCATATCATTGAGAATGGCAAGAGTAATGTCAATTTTACCAGATTTGGCAAACCGAGAGATAAAGACATGGAACATAACGGTATCGGGAGTGATCACCGGAGGGTACTGAACTGAGATATTTTTCCACAAATTATCGGGGTCAATAGATGGCAGCGATTCCGAAGTTGATGAATAGTTATTATCCCAGTAATATAAAAATGTCTGATACAGCGAGGATAGCTCGGCATCATTTGCTGTTAAAGCTGCAAGCGCGTTCCAGACGATGCTTAAAGTATGCGTCGATGGGAAGCGACCGCCAGCAGCAGGTTTAAACTTCGGTGGCGTTTTGACTGACAAAAGTGAATGCAGTGCTTCGCGAGACGTTTCAGGACGGCTTGAAATATGATGGAGAATCCAAGCTCTAGGTACACCAA